TGGAATTCATAGTTCGACACAATTTAAATTAGTTTGATGAATATTTTTCTCTTAGGTTATAAATTTAATCTGCGTTGAATTTCGGGAATTTCGGAAACTATTCATCCTTTTCATGTCTGCTCACAAATCTCAACTCAATGTGTTGTTTGGTCTTTCTCTCTTTCATTTCCCTTCAGGATTACATGCTAGGGCGTACATCGTGATGCAGTTTGGTAATTTCCGTGATGTATGTACGACTCACTCCCAACATATTTCCCTGATTTCCTCTGCATTTGCAAGTTCTCTGTTCTGTTCTCTTCAACCTTAGAACGTTGATGATGGTATCCATTCATCGGATATTGAGTATCTAGCGTAGACAAGTGTTTATAAATACTTGTAACTTCTTCATGATGGTTGTAGTAGTTCTCCACATTTCAGTTCCGTACAATAAAACTGTGTTGACATTCGTATTGAAGATTGTGACTTTCATAATGGTTGACAGTTGCATCTAGTTTCATGTCTTCTTCAGTTGTAGGAATGCTGTCATTACTTTGCCAATCCTCACTCTCACATCGTTGCATCAGATCCTCCACGTTCATCGACGATGCTGCTGACCAGGTACGTAATAGTCTCCACACATTCCACAACTTCTCCATCAAGTGTAGTTGGGTTTCTGCTTCCATGATATATTTTAAAATCTTTTGTCCCTTGTGTATGTTGAGACCTACTGATTCAAAAAAAACTACTGCTACACCGGTTTCCTTCATCTGCATTTGTCATTGTGTATGAGATAGAAGAGCTAAGTCATCTGCCAAGTCCAAAGAGTCTAGGTGCATCAAACCTGTCCATTGTATTCCGTGATTGCTCTCAGATGTAGAGGTCTTCACAATCCAGTCAACCAACAGAATAAAGAGGAATGGTGAGAGTAAACAGTTTTGTCTGACTCCTGTCCTTACATCGAATGCATATGTTAGCTGTCCTCCATACACCACTTTGCATTGTAGTCCGTCGTATGAATTCTTGATCATGTTGACGAGTTTCTCAACTACTCACTCCTTAGTGTCGAACAACTTTCCATAATATTCTCGCATCTACTCTGCCAAACACATTCTCATAGTTAACAAAGTTGATATATGGTGACGAGTTTGACTCAACTGGTTGTTCAATGATGATCCATAGTGTCACGATTTGGTCTGTGCACGACCGATTCACACGGAATCCGGTCTGTTGATCTTGAAGTTGTGCGTCTACTGAATCTTTCATCTGGTTCAGCAACACTCTGTTGAAAACATTCCCTGATATCGATAGTATTGTGATGCTTCTGTAGTTCTCACACTTGCTGACATCTCCTTTCTATGGTATCTTGATGATGTGTCTCATTTTCCAGTCTGTCGGTATTAATTGTTTTTCCTTACAAATCTTCCTGAATAGAACATGAAGCATACTTTCAGCTACTTCTATAACCGACTTTAGTGGTTCAGTTAGTATATTTTCAGATTCTGCTACCTTCCCATTCTTTATTTGTCTTATGACCATCTTGATTTCTTCAATCGTTGGTGGAGTGACACCTAAAGAAATGTTTGTGTGTGCTGCATCGATGTCCAGTGTTTTCAGTGAGGCTGGTCTATTCAAGAGTTCCTCGAAGTATTCTTCCCATCTTTTCCTCTGCTCATGAATCCGAATGATTCACTTGCCATCTTTGTTCCTGGCAGTTCCATCTGGTTTACTGTATTTCCACGATAGTTTCCTTGTAGTGGTTATAGTTTTTTGATATTTGCTTCTCTTGAGACATTTCACGCTGCCGTTACTAGACTTTCCACATATTTCTGTTTTCCAAATCTAATACTCTTCTCCACTTGTTTGTTTGCTTCCGTATGTGCCTTGACTTTCTCTGTTCTTGTCCAGTTGCTGTTAAATGCTATTTTTTTGTTCTCCCTTTCGTGAATCTTACACAGGGTTTCCGTAAAGATCCATTCCTTACGATGATGATTGTTGAGACCTAGAGCCTCCTGACATGTCGAAGTTAGTGCTTCTTTGATCCCTTTCCAATTGTCCTACATACCACATGTATTTGCAAATCTCTCACCATTCTCATTTCTTTCTTCCAGTCCATGTTGTTCCATGATATCTTCATAGGTGGTGTTGTCTATTCCGACTTCAGTGTTTAGACCTCCCATCAGGATGGCCAGGTCTCTTGCTGAGCACTTCACTATGATTGGTTTCAGCCTCTCATAAAAGTGATCTTTATCGTCTTGATTGGTATTGTTGGTGGGTACATAACATTGGATAACCATCATTGTGATCCCCTCCTTCTTTGTTTTGAAGGATGCTTGGATGATCCTGGGTACATGAGATTTCCACCTGATAAGTGCATTTCGTGCTTCTCTGGACAGCATCATAGCACCTCACTGAGTGTGTGGAGAATTTTCCTCTTCGTGACCAGAGTACAGAAGTATGTCCCATATCTAACCCTTTCTGTTCATTTTGGTTTCAATGGATTTCGCTGATTCCGTAGCTATTTGGTTAGTCTTCCCGGTCTCCCACATTGTGGGGACATTCCATGTACCTATATTAATTGTTGGTCTGGTTGTTAGAAGGAGCATCGGCCTCATGACTTACGAACAATCTCGGATTTCATCATGAGGCGTCATAATTCTTCTTTGAACTTGAGGAACAGAGTTTAAATTGTTTATTCTGGTTAGCGTTTTTTTTTGGTAAAGTTATGTTCTTTAGGATAATGTTCCTGACCCCATGTCCGACCCTTTACCTGAGGTTGGGACGGGTAGTGACTCTAGAAGAGCTACAGGCGGAGTTTCAATAAGAGCTATTCACCTCAATTATGTAAATAAACAATATTTAGTCTAATAGTCAATATCCCGGTGTTTTAATCCCTTTACTATACAAAAATAATTTTCCATTTTAGTGTGAGTTTATTGAGGAGACAAAGTGTTTCATGTTAAGCGCGAACAACTAGATTTTAAGTCAGTGGTCTAGAGGTTGGGCGCTCATGAGCGAGACCGGAGGTATTGGCTTCGATTTCATGTGATAAGGTCGTGTATATGCACAGATAAGAGGTATTAAACTAGTGTGAATCAGTTTTCCAGTGGACCCTAGTTTTCAATGGTGGTCTAGCTAAAAATCAGTTCTTGTTCTAAACTGTGAAAATTCTATCATTTCCATTAAAACCCCTAGACTAGAAAAATAGAATAGACACGAATCCTAACTTTAAATTACTTTCAGTTCTCATTAGTATTCTTACCTTCTTTCATTATTGTCAGAAAATACCACGTGTGTGTACCCCTTCCAGCCATAGAAATACAGTGAAGCCTAGTAGGCCCTTCTGGAGAAGAGTGCTACTTCGAAGCATAGCACAACTAACGGGACTTAATAGCTGTTTTTACATTGCTTACGCAGAACCATTATATCATTCATTCATTTTTTTGGGCAGACTCATTCTTTCTTTTTGAACCAACAATAATTATGCAATGATTCTTTGTAGCAATTGTAATCATTTGTGGGTATAGGTAGATTGGTTGATTAAGCCGATCTCTACCATTCGTTTTGCCACTCACGTTAGTACATGGGATCACTGCCATGATTCAGGAGGTACAACGAGGACGTGAGAGTCCGGTTTTGCCTCCCCAAAAAAAACCATGTGACAATAATTAAAATTTGAACACTGCCACTATCATTACTGGTATGTTCCTTCGAAAAATTGTTTTTTTTTTCAAAATTTTGTACACATATTTTTTTTAACAGTCACGTGTTTACCATATTATCTGTCTACCTACTCATTTTACTACGTCATAAACATAAACACACGTGTTTATTCTAAAAACATGTCTGTCACACAATCTTTATATCGAACTAGTTGCAGTGATAATATAGATTAAACAAGATAGGAAAGTTGCTAAGGCACTAATAATAATAGTAGTAAGGAAAATAACAACAACAATTATAATACAAAAATAATCAACATACGATCTGTAAACAAAATGATTCCTATATTCGGGTTGATAGAAACGATTTTAGAATAGTGAATTAGTCATAAAAAAGACACAAAAAAATGGGTCTTGTCAATTTTCTGATTAACTTATTCATATAAAAAAAACTCTTAAACTGGTTGGTATAGAGTAAAAGAAAGCAGAATAATTGACCTCTGATAAATTAAAGTTTATAGAGAATAATGTAATTAGACCTTTAGAAGAAGTTAAACCATAAAGAAAGAGTAAATCGGTCGATAAATAAATAATTTGTAAGTAGAAGGTTGTCAACATTATACAGAACTCATACGATGGAATACAGTGTAAAAAGTGGTGTATGGAGGACAGCTGACAGATTCATTTCCAGTAAGGACCGGAGTCAGACAAAGCTGTCTACTCTCCCCATTCCTCTTTCTTCTGGCGATTGACTGGATTATGAAAACTTTAACATCTGACAGGAAGCACGGAATACAATGGACATGTCACAATCAGTTAGACGATTTGGACTTCATAGATGATCTAGCCCTCCTCCCTCATACTCACGAACAAATACAGACGAAGACAGCCGATGTAGCAACAGCCTCTGCATCGATAGGCCTCAACATACACAAAGGAAAAAGAAAGATTCTCAAATACAACACGGAGAACACCAACCCAGTCACACTTATTGTAGAAACTCTGGAATGGGTGGAAACATTCACGTACCTGGGAAACATCGTTGATAAACAAGAAGGATCAGATGCAGATGTAAAGGCGAGGATTGGCAAAGCAAGGGCAGCATTTTTACAATTGAAGAACGTATGGAACTCAAAACAACTGTCAACTAATTTCAAAGTGAGAATCTTCAATACAAACGTCAAGACAGTCATTTATACTGTACGGAGCTGAAACGTGGAGAACTACTACATCCATCGTCAAGAAGGTACAAGTATTTATAAACAGTTGTCTACGCAAAATACTCAACATCCATTAGCCGGATACTATCAGCAACAGCGTTTTATGGGAGAGGACAAACCAGCAGGTTCCATCTGAAGAGGAAATTAGGAAAAGACGTTGGAAGTTGATAGGACATACATTAAGGAATGCTCTTTAGTGCTTTAGAAAACCAACAAATAGAAATGCTTGGAATAGCTAGCAACGACGGCGGTAAAAGCTTCAAGAGAAGGGAATATCAAACAACTATATGATACTACGAAGAAACTAGCAGGCAGATATAGTACACCAGATGGAGCTGTCAGGGACAAAGAAGGAAAGGCAATCACTCAGATTCAAGAACAGGGGAAAAGATGGGTAGAATACTCGAGGAACTCTTGAATAGACCAGCCCCATTGAATCTACCGGCAATCAAAGCAGCACACATAAACCTTCCTTTACATGTCGCTCCACCAACGATTGAAGAAATCAAGATGGTCATCAAACAAATGGTGAGTGGTAAATCAGTAGGATCTGACAGTATACCAACTGAAGCACTAAAGTCGGTTATAGAAGTAGCTGAAAGTATGCTTCATGTTCTATTCAGGAAGATTTGTGAGGAGGAACAATTAATACCGAGAAACTGGAAAAAGAGACACATCATCAAGATACCATAAAAAGGAGATGTTAGCAAGTGTGAGAACTACAGAAGCATCACAATACTATCGATATCAGGGAATGTTTTCAACAGGTTTTCCATAGTGGTCTAGCTTTAATTGACTCATGCTTTCAACTATGAAAATACTGAAATCTCCACAAAAACCCCTTCTGATAATAATAAATATGTTATTTATAACTAATTAATGAATAATCATCCTAAGTTTCAACATTCTTTTCACATGGTTCAATTAATTCACATTGAACTAAGTTTTGGGTACCTAAAACTTTAAAAATATTTTCTATTCAATAATAAATGATGACCTGGTTTGACCTTAGTCACATATATTTCTATTCCGTATATATATGATGATTAAGTCATGTTATCTTTGTTTCTACATTGAATTAAGTAGTTATTAATAGACAAATGTATGTTATGTTGTTTTCTGTCATTGTTTTTCCATTTATATGTATACGTTAAATTGAACTGTTGTTTCAAAGTTCAATGTTAATTTGCATGACCTACAACATAAAGAAGAATGGTTTGCAAGGGTTTCTATAATTATTCCAAAAATCAAATGAACCATTTGCTTCTTAATGTATCATCATATGTATTGATCTAAGAATTTGTGACTTATGTAAAAATAGTCAAGTCATTAATCATGATGTAATGGCGACTTACTTACTTACTGTCGCCTGTTACCACTCGTGGAGGAGCATAGGCCGTACACCAGCATTTTTCTGGTTAGCGTTTTTTTAGTGAATTAGTTTTTTCACTGGATGGGGTCGCTAACCCATGTCCAACCCTCCTCCTTTACCCGTGCTTGGGACCGGCAGTAACTCTAGAAGAGCTACAGGCGGAGTTATGTAATGACGATTGATATTAGTCAAAGTTCAATGATTTCTATGAAGTGATCAGTGTAACTCAATAATGTTATAAGTAAGTTTGTACAGAACAGTTTGTTAATTTAAGGGACTTGATTTTGTAGTGATATTGTACAGTTGGTTTTTATGACTGTTCTGTGGTGTGCAACCAATTCCTCGCATTGGATTTAATTCATGACATTGAAGTCTCACAGAGAATATAAATTTATTTAACCTTTATATGGAAATTCATTATTTCATATTTCCTATTTCAATCGATTTACGTATGGTATTGTACTCACTGAGTGATCAACGCTGAGATTAGGAATAGAATACTAAGAAAAGGTGGTGATACGGTTGATAAGGTAAGGAATCTTGATCTCAGGTAACTGAGACCAACTACCTTTATATGCAACCATGACTGGAGAATAAAAAAATCCAAACCAATAAATATCATTACTTTATAATGACAATGATTGTTGATTCAAACCATTTAAAGAGATGTAAACTAATTGGTCAAGGTCCATATGAATATTGTAACAGATGGTTGGAAACAATGAGCAAATGTAAATCAGAATTAGTTGTAATGGAGCAGATATATTTCCTGTGTTCCTCCCTTTGAATCCTTATACTTTTTATTTCGTGAATTTATTACTTTTGAGTGACATCGTCTATGTTTACTAGCCCCCAAATGCCCTGGTACGGCCGAGAGTGGGGAGAGTCCACTCTCCCTCTCCAAATGCTCTCATATGGCCTGCGAATATATAGCCTCTGCCAGGGAAGTCCTACTAACTGCCTTCTCGTGGCGGGGGTGTTGTTCACAAAAGTGAGAGCACGAAAAGCGAATGTCCGGCGCTTTAACCGGGTTGGTGGACACGGAGGGTCCACCTAGGGGAGTTGGAAAACCCTGATTCCAAACCAATGGTGCACATGGGCTCCAGGATCCTGATGGAACGAATGGCGTATGAATCTATTGTTGGCCACCGGCTACCATGGGACTGCATCTCGTTACGATGCTCCACTGCCTTGTGGATCAGACCTTTAGGTCAAAGGCTCGGGGTGTGGCCCTCTACAAAAACCACCTGCTTCGATTTGGGCACCCAGGCAGTATCCCAGCCCACACACAAAGTGTGGCGCATATGTATCTGGTGCCTTTTTGTACCAATATATATGTGTTTAAATAAATAAATAAATAAAATGTTTACTATTCCTATTAATTCGTTATTCATCTTGATAATTTTATCTCATTGTACTAATGTAGTGTGTGAATTTGGGTGATGTACATATAGTGCAGTTGACTTACCGACTGGTTGTTTACTTTAAGAAATTTAAAGAGTCCAATTTCAATCCAATTTGAATAAGGCTACCATAGATGAAAAATTAACTATATTACATAACCATCGACATTTTCTGTTACAATTCTTTTTTACTTAGTAAACAACGGTTTTATCTTGCTATTGGTTCCCTTTACAAGTTTAAAGAAAACAGTAACGACAATATTTGAAGAATATGATAAATTCATGCCCAGGACAGAGTTGGATAGAGAATGCTGGTGAGCGGCCTATGCTCCTCTACGAGGATTAACAGGCGTAAGTAAGTAAGTATGTATGTATGATAAATTCATTGTAGTTTATCTCTTAATCTTTAGCTAAATATAAACTGATCAGTGTAATTAGTTTGAAATGTTGACTTTTATCCTTCTTTATCATATTTATTAAACTGAAATACCTGTAAGATTTCATTAGAATGAATTAACATCAAAGAAATTACAAGGAGAAAAAGAATACTTCACAATGGTATTCACGATAAAGAATTCATTGTATGTGATTATTATGTATATACGTAATCGATCATTACCCTGAAGATTATAAATCGATCAATGTTAGACCACCATTGAAAACCTAAAAGTACTAGACGGCCGTTTCGTCCTAGTACGGGACTCTTCAGCAGCGCGCATCAATGATCCCATAAGTAGGATTCGAACCCATGGCCTTCAGTCACACATGAGAACACATGACCTCTAGACCACTGGGCAGGCATTCAACGATGTTAATTTCTAACTTCAACCAATCTATGAATAGTTGAGTAACCATTTGATACATGCTACTTATATCTTATAACATCAGCAGCACACACCACAATATGAACGTGTATTTGAAATTTGTGAAGAACTGGTCATGAAACTATGCAGTTGTTGATAATGACATTAACTTATTTGAAAGAATAAACACTTCTGAAATTTATTAAGGTTTGTATTTAAACAGTAAAACTAAGTTTGATTTATTATTATTATAAAAAGTCTTTTGACTTTTTATTCAAAATGTAGCATGTATATTTGTATTATACATTTATAGTCTTGACAAACAGAGAGAAATATTTAGGTTATGTATAAATGTCGACCATAAGTTCCTGCACATATTCTTTCTAGATTGGTAACACTGAGAAGATAGCGTACAAAATATCTTCATAAAGTATGGGAACCATAGATTAAATATTTCATTTGTAAAACTTCCATCAATTATCCTTCACATTCTGTATGGTTCTTCCACTTCACAATTCCTTTCTATTTCCCTTTCTGTTTTTTTCAACTAGACCTTCTTAGTCTTCTGCTGCAATGCATTTCACCTCTGATTGGTGTTACATATTACTTATATCTGTCGACATAAGTAGCATACACACATGCTTATTACGATAGTAACGCTCAGTATATTTAATGTTAATTCGGCGCTTCACTTAGTTTCGATTGACGAATAACCTGTATTTAAAATGTTATTATGAAAGAATTTTTTAAGACTATCAGACCATTCAATGAATGCTGAACATGGAGCATTGTCTTTTTTCTCAGAAAATGATTTATCTGAAACCATGCAATTGAATAATTTGAGTGAGTCATCAAGAGGCTTTTGAAGAATGACAGTTATATTAGGAAGAGAAATAGTTGCGTAGGTTGTTACTTGCAATAAATTATACTCTCTACAAAAGTATAATATATATATATAGGGGAATTATTACGACCTAAAATAACGTAGTCTACCAAATAGGTTAACTGAAAAACTTAATAAATCTGAAGTTTTACAGCCTCATCTAATGGTGAGGTTACTATAACCTAATACCTTATCTCTGTTTGGAGGAGCTCTTCATGAAAGGCTAATACATACCTAATACATACATGAACTATCGTATATTGCTTTAATCTCTAATATTTATACGTAATTTTTATATTTTACCATGTATTCAACATGAAATCTTTCCTTTTTACTCAGAAAAGTAAATGAATAAACTAAATCAATATATCGATCGATTGAATATTAAGTGAATGAAAATTAAATGTAGGCACTGTAACCAATAGAATTTTAGTTAATTTGAAATATTATTAACCAATCAGAATTATTATTGAGTTAACCAATCAAAATCAAGCATAATATGTTATTTATAAAATATTAAGTGTAGAGAAAATGATACGTGATGTAGTTGCAAATATGTAATTAGTTTCTAACGTTAAAAAATTCTTGTCCAGTCTTGTTTACATATGAATCATTTAAAATTCTAAGGGGTATTTTTTTGAGAAGTTTATTAAGGTAGAAAAAGGATAAAGTACATACAATATTGAATAAATATTTCATCATAGTTTTAGACTACTCGGTAGTTAGAATAAAATAGTAAATCAAGAATGACAACAACTAAAGCATCTTCCAATGACAGAATGTGGACCGATGAACTCTAATTCAATGGCTTGATGGCATTATGTTGATATATTCTGTGTTCTACTGTAATATGAGGTTATGACTACGGATAGTTGAAGGGTTTCAAAGTCGTTCGAAATAGTTATCCATTGCTCCATAATTTTCAATATTTCTTTAGATGATAGTGCTTCGTGATGAAAATGACTTTTAAAATTAAGCAAAATCTCCTAAGAATCACTTCAATAAATAAGTTTATTTATAAAATATATTTAGAATTGTCATTGTTGTTCACGAAATTCATTAATTTCCAATATAACGAGTAGGGTACTCCCATAAATTTACTGTGTGGTCACACTTTTTGTTACTTCAGTTAACATAATATGATATTGTACTATTTCATCTAATCAATGCAATTCTATTTTGAATGCATTATTGATTTGGAAAAAAACATTACTAGATTAATTAAGTTGGTCAGAGTTTTCATTTGTTCATCAAATTTCAGTTGAACAAATAAAGTGATTAATTCATGCTTTGAGAAATTATAATTATTACTATTGTGCGAAATGCTGGATCAAATTATTATAACTAATAGTCAAATATAGAATAATAAATAACTGATTCGGGATTATATTGAAGATCGGGAAACGATCAATGAAGTTCTATTCTTAGAAAGTGAAAAAATTCCATATAGGCATTAGCTCAATATTTTTATAGTTGAAAGCATGAGTCAATTGAAGCTAGACCATCAGGAAAATCCTGGGAGCAGTGGACGGTCCCAGAGTGAACATCAACTCTGAGATGCAGGTACATCCACCTGACCAGTCTCGAATAGGACGAAACGCGCGTCCTGGATTCCACTGCTAGCCACTATCCATCTCGACTCATTAATCGTTATAATATATTCTACCCTTCATAAATTATAACTAATTAAGTAACTGTTACACAATTGTACATCACAAACATTCTGGTTATTTGCCTATTGAGATTTATTATACACAGTGCATTGTGGTCTTACATTTTATGCATATAATTACATGAGTTTTGCTTCTGAATAATGAAAAACAATCAGCTGGTCTTTCTCATAGATTAGGATTAGATGGATTCTACATAAGGTTATTAATCGTTTAGATTACATTCAATATCCGGTTTAGCTGATTCAACGTCACTGATTTAGATAAAATCATACAATACGATTTTATTGAATTATTTGACATGACACGTACAAAAGTAAGTAAAGCAACTACAATAACGCACCTGGTAAAATAATATCCGAACAATACCCTGAATGGTTATCTAAAGGGCAATACAAATAAAACAACAGCTCAGTTATTGAACACGTAATCGATTCAAGTCACACCCCACCAGAAGGGTCGTCGTTAAAAATCCTCTACAAAGTTATAAAAAAACTGTCTCATAAAAGGTTTGGATAATGAATTTATTCAAAACTGAGGCTAAAGGAATTCACTATTTCAAACCCATACTCTGTATACACAAGAGTCACGTTCAATCCCTTATTCTCCCATAGTCTTGGCACCCCTTCGAATTTTACAAATTATAATTGATAATTATTTTTTTGCTCCTTTATTAAATAGACAGTTATCTTTGTTTAGCAGAGATGGATAGTGGCTAGCAGTGGAATGCAGGACTCGCGTTTCGTCGTATTTGGGACTCGTCAGCTGGATGTACCTGCATCTCAGAGTTGATGTTCGCTCTGGGACTCGAACCCAGTACCCTCGCTTCAAACGCCATGCCAATTAGAGACTGACCAGTTGCAGTCCTAAACACATCGATGGGAAGATCCAAACAAACAATATTAAGTGAATTCAAACTTCACCCCATCGCACAAGCAAGTGGCTATCAGGACTCAGTGGCCGAATGGATAACGCGATGGCGTTTGAAGCGAGGGTACTGGGTTCGAATCCTAGGGTGAACATCAACTCTGAGATGCAGGTACATCCAGCTGACGAGTCCCAAATAGGACGAAACGCGCGTCTTGGATTCCACTGCTAGCCACTATCCATCTCTGCTTACCATGCTTGTGAATTAAGGTATATCGAGGCAATACGCACAGTATGCACATATGCCAATTAGAGACTGACCAGTTGCAGTCCTAAACACATCGATGGGAAGATTCAAACAAACAATACTAAGTGAATTCAAGTTATCTTTGTTTTTTTTATTTTATAGATTATTACTTTTTGTTACTTTTAAAACTATTAAATAACATAGGCTCTTAACGATTTCTAATTACTCTGCTAAATGATACAACCCTTTTTTATCCAATACTTAAAAAACTTGGATTACACTTGCAATAACATTCTTCCATTCATAATTTATTATATTTAATACTTGAAATCTTTTGATAATCTTGACTATATTATACAACAGCAATTCATTGTCATTGATTTTGCACTTGAATAGACTTGACTATCTTTGATAATTTTTTAAAACTTTCCTGCTTTACTACAAACTATTATATGTAAAAAAAAAAATTACCTATAAATACAATTGTACAGCTTCAGAAAGTGATATCATCATAAAGGAAGTTTGCTTCGTTGAAATGTCTTCATTTTTCTTAATGAACCAATGATCTTTCGTTTCTTTTCTTTCTAAAATGATAACCTTCGACAGTTCTGACTATTTTTACATAATAAAGTGCTAATGAACTTGAAAATAATAATCATAAGGGGTTTGAGTAGAACAAAATGAAGTCACTTTATTTTATTATGTTTTCATCTACTACTTACAATGTGTAATATTGTTTTACAGAACGGAAAAGATTTGTATTCTAGATAAATTATATGAAAAATCGATGAACACTTGAAAAATACGCAGGAAACAACGGTTATTCAGAAAAGTTTATTGACATAATCAGAAAGGGTTTTTGTGGAGATTTCAGTATTTTCATAGTTGAAATCATAAGTCAATTGAAGCTAGACCACCATAGAAAACCTGGAAGCACTGGACGGACGTTTCGTCCTACTCTGGACTCACTCCTCAGCAGTGCGCATCCATGATCCCGCCTCACGATATTTGAACCAAGGACCTACTAGTCAACTCATTGAAGACAATTGGTGAACGGTTGCTTAATTTCGTGGATTGGTTGGAGTCAGACATTAACACTGTTGAATACCAACTCAGTGGTCTATCGGTTAAGTGCTCTGGTGCGAGACTGATAGATCCTGGGTTCGGATCTCGCGAGGCGGGATCGTGGATGCAAATGATGAGGAGTCCCACAATAGGACGAAAAGATCGTCCTGGGCTTCCAGCTTTTCGATGATGGTCTAGCTTCAATTGACTAAACTATGAAAATATTAAGCTAATGCCTATATGGAGTTTTTTTCACTTTCTAACTTAGTAACCTAATTTGATGTATTTGTCACCAGTGTCATTTAGTTATAACATTAAACCATTCTTTTCTAGTTCAAAATATTATTCACAACTGTTATTGACTTTATTTGATTACTTCATAACGTAGTTAAATAATTCTGACCCTGTGATCTTTTTCTTCTGCCCTAGTCAATGTTCTATAACTTTCTTTGAGTTATTTTCACTTGCAGCATTATACTCAACATTTTAAATTTAAATCCAATCTTATCTGAACCATGCTAGTATATTTTCGTATTAAACTTAATATAACGGTAGAATAAACACATTTCTTGTTAGTTGTCTTTAAGGTATATGTGATTAAATCATAAAACAAGATAGTAGTTATATATTGATCTGGTTTATGTATTGATTAGTTCGCTTAGAACAACCTATCTAGTAAAATTCTATAAAATTTGAATCATTATATATTAGTTGATAAGGATCTAATGATAGAAAATCAATTTGTTGTTCTACACAAAGTGTAGTTCATTTTCTTTTTAAATTAATAAACATAAATAACTGTATGTAATGATGATGATGATGTTGATGATGATGATGATGATGATGATTTGGATGATTTGGATGATGATGATGATGATGATGATTTGGATGATGATGATGATGATGATGATGATTTGGATGATTTGGATGATGATGATGATGATGATTTGGATGATGATGATGATGATGATGATTTGGATGATGATGATGATGATGATGATGATTTGGATGATTTGGATGATGATGATGATGATGATTTGGATGATGATTTGGATGATGATGATGATGATGATGATGATGATGATGATGATTTGGATGATGATGATGATGATGATGATGATGATTTGGATGATGATTTGGATGATGATGATGATGATGGTTAAAACTGAAAAAACAAAACAAAAACAAACAAACTGAGGTCAAATGTTATTTATCAATGAAATAATCAATCATTCATTGTTGTTTTGTTTTTTCCCCACAAATAAAAATTTAATAACCTTTGTTTGAAAGTTTAAAGGTTAATTTATTTGCTTTGAAATAGAATTTAATTTAGTGAAAAAGGAATAAGTTTGCTTTGTTTAAGAGAAAAAAATATTTAGACAAAGAAAAGCAAATCTAAATTATCTTAATGATGACAAAATGTTAATTATATCAACTTAGTAATCAACTATGAATGAATAATTTCGCGTGATTGATGTCTTACAAAATTTTTTAGTAAACTAAGAACAAAGAGTTTTGTAGAATGTACTGAGTTCAGTGTACTTCATAAGTGATAGTGGTTACCGAAATGATGTCATTTAGGATACTACCGAAAACTAGAAAGTGTTGAATAGTTGTCTTGTTCTAGTATGGTATTCCTAAGTAATACACACTCATTACCTTTATGTTCTCTAGATAAGGTGAATAACTGATCAATATCATACATAAAGTAAACCAACCTCCATAACTCATTGGACTGACAGTTCTTCAATATTGGAAAAGATTATTTTATTATGATGAAGTTTTGTCCTCTTAGCTGTATGGTTTGGTCATGGAGCTTTCATCATCCTTCTGAACGACATCATCAGTACAAACTTCAGGTATGACAATACTTAATTTTCTGCCTAGCATTTTTTAGTGAGTTGGTTTTCTACAGGATGGGGTCGCTAAGCTCATGCCCAACCCTCCTCCTTTATCCGGGCTTGGGACCGGCAGTAGCCCCCAGAGGAGCTACAGGCGGACAATAACATCCAAGAATACAAAGAGATAAGAAATTTTAGTTTGATTTGAACTTACTGTATGTCAATCACAATGAAGTAAAGGCTGGAAACAACTAGTCGTTCAAATTGTGTTTCTTTTTAGTCACCAAGGCAGCTAAATATTAACCATTAATACTTCCTAAATACACGGGTCAAATGTTAACCTTTATTTTACGGTGACCTTCATGAATCACATCATCATGAAATTGTTTGTTAATTATTTTGAATGCTTTAATTTGATACACTAACTGACCGGATAAGTTTCATTGAAATCACGAATTAGACAACCAATGAAAACCTGGAGGCAATGTATCATAGTGCTGAACTCTTTTGGAATGAGCATCAACATTTTCATTAAGGATCCAACAGACCTTTATGACCTAATTATTTCGTCTGGTGGAAAATCGTTTAAAAAAAAGTTGTTAAATAAATTGCAAAATGTTGAACTTTTCATGAATTACTTGTTTCTCTTTCATGAATATAAAAGCTTTTTTTATGTAAAATAGAATATTATCTAGGATAAGTAACAGGTGTAAGTAAGTTTACTTTGATTCCCCCCCCCTCATATTCCTTCCAACTCGTCAAACTGTCTGTTATCTCAGTGCATGTAACTGTTACTCAAGATTAACAAAGTTTTCGTAGTTTAAATCACGAACAGATTGTAGCCAGATTACCATTGACTTGTCTCTCAATTCATTTTGGTATGAGACACTTCAGCGGTTATCTGCGACCCCGCGTCTGGGAATCGAACCTGGAGCCTTCGGTCTCCTGACGGAACGCTTGACCCCTAGACCACTGAATCGGAATCTAGTGGTTCTAATATCTAACTTCAAGCTACCCACGGTATTATGCATACTAAGACGAAACAGCCTTCCAGTGCTTTAAGGTTTTCAATGCTAATCTAACTGAGATCTATTCATCATTTAAACTCTAGGAATTCTAAAATCTCGACAAACTCCTCTATCTTAACAAAATTGTTCTTTTTATCATTTTTAAGCTTTGTAATTGGAAGTTTTCAAAGTGATACTTTCTGTCGCTTTTTTCCTTAACTTAGGTCATTGTTATTTTAAGTCTTTCCATAAAACGAATTATACCTTCAAAGTCACTGATGTACAATCAATATGTCAATAGTTTATCAATGAAATAGACAAAAAACCCCATCTTCATGAATGATACTTTAATAATCTCCCCTTTCTCTTTTTAATGTTAAATGAACCTAGTCACCTTATATTGTGAAATCCATCTTTTAAAGGCTTGTACAGAAAAATATTAAAAGGCGAATATCCACCATCTACTCATAATCTAAAATTAATGAATGCAACAGAAAATTTAACTTTGTAACCAAATAATGAGTTTGCTACTTCAAAGGCTACCTACCTGCTGTCCATCATGACAATATGCTAATTTTTCAATAACCTTTTCCGTTTTATACCATGTGTCGATTTTAATTATTTAAATTGACTGAGAATCCTTCTGTTTCTCTCTCTGTTATTTCTCCTTTAATGAATTTAAACAAGATGAAATGTTGAAGTGTTTCCTTTTTTTCATTTTAATGGAAGTAATTATTGTAGTTAATAATATTTTTACCCTATATTTATGAAATCATTCATGTTATGGCGAGACTTTAATTTCTGGACGAGCCAATGATAAGCGTTTGAGGGATTTCAGGGTCACGGCACCAATCCCGGTACCTGATACGTATGTACGATCGGATCACAGTAGATTTTAGAGAGGACGTGACAATTAAGCGTTTACAATAAATGGAACTACTAAAAAGTTCCTTTATTTGTAATTGCGGTAATCAAATGACTTATAGACCCTGTACAGACTACCGTTATGATATCTTTCGATGTAATATATGTTGGCTGAAGAAGTATGCTACAATAGGAACTTTTTCCGCTCTATCCAAATTGAGATTAAGTCAAATTATAACAAATGCTGCGAACTATGTAATAAAAGCACCAGTAATATTCGCAGATGTTACTGGAGCTTTGGCTGTTCAATGGTATGAGTATTGTAGAGATATATGTGTAATAAAAATGACAAGCTTACACAGTCAGAGTAAACACAAACAATATTGAAGCTATGTGGTAGGGGTTGAAAGAGTATTCGCGACCTTATCATGGCTCCAGAGATTGACGATTATGGAGCCACATGGATGAGTTCCTCTACCGTATGCATTACAATTTTAGAACCTTCGAACCTATTTCTAACCCTGACAAGTTTTTGAACTATGTAAAAAAGGGTATCCATTTTGATTCTTTGGTTTTGTATAATGTATTTTTATTTTATAGGAGTCCCATACTTGGACCAGGTTTTCCATGGTGGTCTAGCTTTAATTGACTCATGAATTCAACTATTACATTTCGTTGTTAAAGGGTTGAACTCCAACAATATCAAACCAAATTTTATAAACTTTGATATTCGAAAAAAAATCAACTTTTATTAAGCATCAAAAACAAGTCAGAAATCGTTTTCTGACTTTTAAGAAACATTTCTTTGTGATAATTACAATAGTGTTTGTTAATATGAATCCTCTTTTTATTCTGCACTCATTTCATGTTATTCAATGTTATACACCCACCAACGATAACAATGAAAACTATAAAGATCAGTTTTATGAGAGGCTGAAACCAATCATATTGAGGTGCTCAGAAAGTGACCTGACCATCCTGATGAGAGACCTATGCGCCATAGTCCGAATGGACAACATTGAGTATGAAGATATCATGGAACAACTTGGACTGGAAGAAATATATGAGAATGGTGAGAGATTTGCAAATATATGTGGTTATTCGTGGCAAAATATTCCCACACAAACGCATACACATAACCACATGGGTTTCACGACACCACACTACACAGAACCAGATCAATCATATTTGCATCACTAGTGTTAAGTCTGTTTTACGTTCTGTCCTCACTTCCCTTCTACTCTTTTGTGTATTTTTGTTATACTACTTATTAATATTCAGCAAGTAGTTGTATTTCTAGAAATTTCTACGCTCATATTGTAGTACAAACTTGTCGTGTAATATTTTAAAATATTTACATCCACTTATAACATTTATTGTACTTATCATTACAATTACTTTATCTCAATCATTGTAGCATTTTCTCACGATTTTGTGCAATCGTTTAACCCCTGTTTAAACGCAACAGTTTCCATATTGCTTGCTCTTAGCTTCGAAGTTTGCTTGTTGACAAACCGTTATCAAATTTAGACACAGCCAACAGCTTTCAACAGCTATCAAAGTTGAGCGTCTACTGAGTCTTTCATTAGGTTCAACAACAACCCGTCGAAAACTTTTTCTGGAATTTATAATAATGCGATGCCTCTGTAGTTCTCACACTTATTCAGATTCCCTTTCTTTGGTATCTAGATAAGGTATCGTTCTTTCCAGTCTGTCAGTGGTACTTGTTCTTCCTCCCAAATCTTCCTTAATGGAAGGTGGAGCATCATTTCAGTTACCTGTATGTCTGACTTGTAAGTTGGGCAACCACTGGAAACCCATGAATAACAGGCGGAAGTCTCACCCAAATATGGGACTCCTCAGGATTGGTCATTCACGGACTCACCTCAGAGAATCAAACTCATGGCCTTTGGTTTGGAGCCCGAACGCTTAACCTCTAAATCAGTGAACCAGAAACCAATCATGTACATGTCTAGCATTAATCATCCGACGATACTACACGATTATCTCCTACTGTCTTCATTCCTGATACTATTAAAAACCGCTGGTAACAGTTTTTCAATAGAAATCCAAAAATGTCTCCTCGAAGCTGATCTGTCTGATCTGTTTGATTATATTTTCTTGAAAAAAGCTTGGACCAGATTACCAGGCAAAACGTTGGATTTACTTCAAATTCATTCGCTGAGATTTTGACAAATCCAAACTTACTCTTTAAGCTTTGATGCTTGTTTAGTTGGCATTAGAAAAAAAGTATTTAATTAAAAATAAAGTCGAATGCTTAAAACACTGAAGTATATCGAAACTCGGCACCAAATAAATACAATAACATTTTAATACTAGATTGACTGAGTGCAATGGATTTGTTGGATTGAGGAAACTTTAACAAATGGTCACAAGAGAACATACAAAATAAGTTCCCAGATTTAATTGTGTTTTCAGATTACAGTTTACCTTCTGTCCATGCTTATGAACATTTTCTATAATTTTTCAATTGAATTAACAAGTAATATTAGCTGAAGGCATTTTAAATTTAGTATAAAATTTTAGTGAGTGAACAGTCAGGTGGGGAAGACCAATTTATTGTTGAATGCAAACTTTCAGAGTGCCTTGATAAAAAATATGAAAACCATACATTAAATACATCATTTACACATTTATCAGTTGTCTCTTACAAACTTTATCGTTTCTTCATTCCTGTTGTTATTTTGATTGCTTCAAGTTTTCTTCGATCTTCTCTTCATTTCAATCTTCTACTCTCATACGCTCCACTTCCGATTGGTACTACATACTACTTATATCTGTCAACATAAGTAACACACACCGCAAAATGAGAAAAATTGGTTTTCATTATTAGTTTATATCAGTCAGAGATCAGTTGAAAAGGTGATGTCACTGTGGATAGTTATTTTTTATCCTAGTTTCATTAACCATAAATTTAATGCATGAATCGAAATTATAAACTTCATTTCGTATGGTGAGTATGTTATATTTTA